GGAGGGAGGGGAGGGAGTGAGGGGAGAGGGGGAGGGAGAGGTGGAGGTGGTTGCGCTGCGCGTGAACCCCAACTCGCGTTCACCCTCAACAGGCGCTCGCTAACAACAACAACAAACACGCTCTCTTGTTGTTGTTGTTGACGCGTCTCGACTCGCTACGGGTCCCACCTTCACCGTGACTCAACACAAAGTGCAAGGTTTATAAAAAACACAAAGCACATCAACACTAACAAAAGTGAATAGTTTAATAAGCTCGTTACAATAATGCACACACCCTGACAACACCACACACACCTTGACAACACCCTGACAACACCACACACACCTTGACAACACCCTGACAACACCACACACACACCTTGACAACACCCTGACAACACCACACACATACACCTTGACAACACCCTGACAACACCACGCACACCTTGACAATACCCTGACAACACCACACACACCCTGACAACACCCTGATACACACCCTGACAACACCCTGACAACACACCACACACACCCTGACAACACCACACACCTTGACAACACCCTGACAACGCACCACACACCTTGACAACACCCTGACAACACCACACACACCTTGACAACACCCTGACAACACCACACACACACCTTGACAACACCCTGACAACACCACACACATACACCTTGACAACACCCTGACAACACCACGCACACCTTGACAATACCCTGACAACACCACACACACCCTGACAACACCCTGATACACACCCTGACAACACCCTGACAACACACCACACACACCCTGACAACACCACACACCTTGACAACACCCTGACAACACCACACACCTTGACAACACCCTGACAACACCACACACACCCTGACAACACCCTGACAACACACCACGCACACCTTGACAACACCCTGAAAACACTCCACGCACACCTTGACAACACCCCGACAACACCACACTTACCCTGACAACACACCACACACGCACACCTTGACAACACCCTGACAACACCACACACACCTTGACAACACCCTGACAACACCACAGACACCTCGACAACACCCCTGACAACACCACACATACCTTGACAACACCCTGACAACACACCACACACCTTGACAACACCCTGACAACACACCACGCACACCTTGACAACACCCTGACAACACACGCACACCTTTCCAACACCCTGACACCACACCACGCACCTTGACAACACACTGACAACACCACACACACACCTTGACAACACCCTGACAACACACACACCTCGACAACACCCCTGACAACACCCTGACAACACCAAACATACCCTGACAACACCCTGACAACACACCACACACCTTGACAACACCCTGACAACACCACAAACACCTTGAGAACACCCTGACACACCACGCACACCTTGACAACACCCTGAAAACACTCCACGCACACCTTGACAACACCCTGACAACACACCGCACACCTTGACAAACACCCTGACAACACACCACACGCACACCTTGACAACACCCTGACAACACCACACACACTGACAACACCACAGACCTTGACAACACCCTGACAACACCACGCACACTCTGACAACACCCTGAGAACACCACGCACCTTGACACACCCTGACAACACACCACACGCCTACCTTGACAACACCCTGACAACACACCACACACACATTGACAACACCCTGACAACACACACCCTGACAACACCACACACCTTGACAACACCCTGACAACACACCACGCACACCTTGACAACACACCACGCACACCTTGACAACACCCTGATAACACACCGCACACCTTAACACACCCTGACAACACACCACACGCCTACCTTGACAACGCCCTGACAACACACCACACACACCCTGACAACACCCTGACAACACACCACACACCCTGATAACACCCTGATAACACCACACACCCTGATAACACCCTGACAACACCACACACACCCTGACAACACCACTCACCTTGACAACACCTTAACAACACACCACACACACCTTGACAACACCCTGACAACACCACACACACCTTGATAACACCCTGACAACACACCACGCACACCTTGACAACACACCACGCACACCTTCACAACACCCTGACAACACCGCGCACACCTTGACACACCCTGGCAACACACCACACGCCTACCTTGACAACACCCTGACAACGCCACTCACCTTGACAACACCCTGACAACACACACAGAGCAAGCGGTGAAGCATGGTCGACTAATTTACCGGCTCTCTGTTTGCGTGAAAGGCTTCGGTGTTGGGGGAGGAAGGCTCTCATCCAGTAGTGGATTGAGTATGATACGTATACAGTATAGATGTATCTGGTATGCAGTATAGGTGTATACAGTATAGATGTATCCGGTGTACAGTATAGATGTATCTGGTATACAGTACAGATGCGTCCGGTATACAGTATAGATATATCCGGTGTACAGTATAGATGTATCTGGTATACAGTACAGATGCGTCTGGTATACAGTAAAGATGTATGCGGTATACAGTATAGATGTGTCTGATTTACAGTATAGATGTATGCGGTATACAGTATAGATGTCTGGTATACAGTATAGATGTGTCTGATTTACAGTATAGATGTATGCGGTATACAGTATAGATGTGTCTGGTATACAGTAAAGATGTATGCGGTATACAGTATAGATGTCTGGTATACAGTATAGATGTGTCTGGTATACAGTATAGATGTATGCGGTATACAGTATAGATGTATCCGGTGTACAGTATAGATGTATCTGGTATATAGTACAGATGCGTCCGGTATACAGTATAGATGTATACGGTATACAGTATAGGTGTCTGGTTTACAGTATAGATGTATGCGGTATACAGTATAGATGTGTCTGGTTTACAGTATAGATGTATGCGGTATACAGTATAGATGTTTCTGGTATACAGTATAGTTGACTATAGACAGTCTGTATAGACTGTTGACTATAGACAGTCTGTATAGACTGTTGACTATAGACAGTTTGTATAGACTGTTGACTATAGACAGTGTGTATAGACTGTTGACTATAGACAGTTTGTATAGACTGTTGACTATAGACAGTGTGTATAGACTGTTGACTATAGACAGTCTGTATAGACTGTTGACTATAGACAGTGTGTATAGACTGTTGACTATAGACAGTGTGTATAGACTGTTGACTATAGACAGTCTGTATAGACTGTTGACTATAGACAGTCTGTATAGACTGTTGACTATAGACTGTGTGTATAGACTGTTGACTATAGACAGTTTGTATAGACTGTTGACTAGACAGTTTGTATAGACTGTTGACTATAGACAGTGTGTATAGACTGTTGACTATAGACAGTTTGTATAGACTGTTGAATAGACTGTATTTAAGTCAGTCTAAACAGTTCCATGTCCATACAGTTGAATGCTGCAGACAGCTTTTATTGTACGTGACACCGCCTTATTGGTCGTTTTGTAAACAGTTACAGTATATACTCGTATATTTATAGACAAGGTTCATAGTAATACAGTTTATATAGGTATTGTAGTCTAAGACATTTATAGTCCAAACTGTATAGGTATGTACTGCATCCTGTCGTGTGTAGTGGTGTATATGTATACAGTACTACAGTGGTGTATATGTATACTGTGGTGTATACAGGTATGGTATACTGTTGTGTGTACTGTATAGGTAAGGATTGTATACTGCATTTAGTGTCTGTGTGTGGGGAGCGGTGGTGCAGCGGTTAGCGCGCTGCAGTGTTCCGAACCCGGCAACCCGAGTTCGATTCCCACTCACACCAACAACTAGTGAAGATTATCCTGAACCGGTCCTGGGGCCTCCCCTAGGTCGACTCGGCCTCAAATGACTACCCGGTGCGGTGCGTAAAAAAATATCGTCCACGAGAGAGACAAAGGCGGCCAGGCGTGACATACCGGCCTTCATAGGTGGTGCTACTGCTCGCTAACAGCACTTGCCCCAACAGTCTGTAAAGGCTACACGGGGGATCTTTGCCTTGTTGCGAGGTGGAATGGAACATCCCAGTATCCACAATAAAGGATTGTTTTTAATTTATTTTTTATGGGTAAGAACGACGTAAATATAAATGTGTGTCGTTAAACCCGCTACCACCCGATACCACCAATTAGTAAGGTGTTTGTCACGTGAACAAAACGTGCCAATTCGTTACTAATTTGACACTAACCGGATGTGTATTGGAGAGTAAACCCACTGCAACATTTACAATCCGAGTACGGTGACGTCTCGCCAGTAATTAAAACAACCAGCATCATCAGGCAACAAATAGACGGGGGGGGGGGGGTATAATGGTGATGTCGTTACGTGTGTTTTATGAAGAAGGTTCATTGCCCGAAACGTCACCTATTTTTTATGTACCCCCCCCCCCGCCTTCCTTGCCCCCCCCCCCCCCCCCCAACGACCAATTAGCAAGATTTATTACTACAAATCTTGCTAATTGTTACTGCTTCGGCACACCGGTGTGTTGGACAGTAAACCCGCAACATTTAATGATTTGAGCACGACGTTCCGCTGTTGATTAGAACCAGCTTCGTCAGGCGTTGCACCGCCTGTATGTACCAATGTGCGTTGAACTTCTTTCGCGCCGTACGTTAGCCAACCGTGCTCATCTGATGTGCGGCGGCGGCGGGGGGGGGGGGGGAATGACAACGAACTAAGCACAAAAAAATCAGTTCAAACGAAATGAGTTTTCACAATCTCCGTGATTTTTTTGAAAGCGCACAGCTCCGGCGGCTTCCTGACATCGGAAGGAAGAGCGTTCCAGACGGCCGCAGGAGCGCGTCTGAAAGCGCGCGTGGGCGATGCCGGTTTGACCCGTCTTTGTTCGATGGCCAGCCCAAAAGCAGCCACCGTCACCGCTCGCGAGGATGACCGGGAGTTGCGTCAAACTGCCCCCCCCCCCCCTTCGTGTGCAATTGCTAAGTGCCCCTTCGCCACCCCCCCCCCTCTGCTGTTCTCTGCGCAGGTGAAACCATCGGGCCACTGCACCTCCTTCAGCCCAGCCTCGCGTCCCCATGGCAAGCACCAAGGTGCTCCTGTCGGGCCACCCGGGCAAAGCCGGGGCCGAGGCGGCTCCGCCGAGCCCCGGCAAGGGTGGCAAGCCCCTCGCCGGCGAAGCGGGCAAGGCCGGAGATGCGGCACCTGCATCCGGTGCCGGCACCCCGCCGCCCGGTTCCCCGCGCCACGCGCCGCCCGCCAGGAGCTACCGCCTTGAGGACTTCCAAGTCGTGGCCACAGTCGGTGAGGACTCGCCACGGTGTCTGTGTGTGTGTGTGTGTCTGCGAGTTGTGTGTTTATTTCGGTGTTTCCACAGTACGGGGGGTGGGGGGTGGTGTACAACCGGTGCATCTGCCAGTCATCTCAGACGGGCAACCCATGGCACCACCTGAGTTCTGTCCCGTGACCTCCTGTGGGCGAGCCTTCGGCACTACGCGTGGCCTCAAAGTGCACGTGGCCCGGCACAGGCGTCGTGGTGGCGTCCCCCGTCACTTAGTGGCGAATGGCGGTTGTTGTTGTTGTTGTGGTGCCTGTGAGTAGTGATAGCAGGGAGCGGTGGCGCCGCGGTTAGCGCTTTGCGCTCGGAATCCGGCGACCCGAGTTCGATTCCCGCTCACGGCCAACACCAGTGACGGTTGTTTGCATTGGTCCTGGGCTTCCCCTAGGTCGACTCTGCCTCAATTGAGTACCACTGGGGAGACAAAGGTGGCCGGGCGTGGTGCTCCACCCACCCCCTCGTGTGTCGTGTTGGCCTTCACAGGTGCTGCTCGCTAGCAGCACTTGCCCCAACAGTCTGTTAAGGCTACACGGGGGGGGGGGGTCTTTGTCTCTGGATTGATACGAAGCACAGCAGGTGGTACGTCTTCCAAGTCATCTCAGTCAGTCAACCCCTAACACGTGGGTCATTCCTCTGACCTCCGGCCAGAGCAGCGAGCCTCCGTGACTTGGTCTGGCGTCAAAGTGCGCCAAGCCAGGCACAACGGTTGTGGGTGATGTCCCTTGTAGTTTAGAGTATACTGGTGCCTGTTGTTGCTTATTTATAGGTGCTCGCTCAAAACACTTGCCCCAACACCCCTGTATTACTGTTGAGGGAATCTCTGGCTTTTTGATTGAGTGGCTGTTGCGCGTCTCACCATGGTGAAGAGACGTTAACTACCTCGTCTGGTATACGGGAGGTCGTGGGTTCGATCCTGACCCTGATGCCTGCTGCTGTACATTTGGAGTTTGCGTGTCTCTTATCATCACGGTGACTAGGAGATGTTAACTACCTCGCCTGGTATAGAGGAGGTCGTGGGTTCGATCCTGACCCTGACGCCTGCTGCTGTATATTTGGAGTTTGCGTGTCTCTCTCTCTCATCATCACGGTGACTAGGAGATGTTAACTAACTCGCTAGGTATACAGGAGGTCGTGGGTTCGATCCTGACCCTGACGTCTGCTGTTGTATATTTGGAGTTTGCGTGTCTCTCTCTCTCATCATCATTTTCAAGGTGGCTAGGAGATGTTAACTACCTCGCCTGGTATAGAGGAGGTCGTGGGTTCGATCCTGACCCTGACGCCTACTGCTGTATATTTGGAGTTTGCGTGTCTCTCTCTCTCATCATCACGGTGACTAGGAGATGTTAACTACCTCGCCTGGTATACAGGAGGTCGTGGGTTCGATCCTGACCCTGACGCCTGCTGCTGCTGTATATTTGGAGTTTGCGTGTCTCTCTCTCTCATCGTCATCACGGTGGCTAGGAGATGTTAACTACCTCGCCTGGTGTACAGGAGGTCGTGGGTTCGATCCCGACCCTGACGCCTGCTGCTGCTGTATATTTGGAGTCTGCGTGTCTCTCTCTCCCCGTGGTCGCGTGGAATTTTCTCCAGGTCTTCTGGTTTTCCCTCCACATTTAGAATCGGCATCACGCGTTTAGAGTATTTGGCTGCTGAGAAAGAGCTCTGTAGCTCTGTGGGCCCTACCTGGTGAAATAAAATAGTTCATCACGGAACTTATCCCCGACAGCTTGTGCAGCTATTAAGGGGAGTCTTCGGTGAGTGGTTTGGTTTGTTTTTGTGCGCGAGGTGGCCGTGTGTGTGTGTTTGAGTGTCGGCGAGCGAGCGTGTGCTGGGAGTGGTTGCAACGATGCTTGTGCGCACCGCAACATAATAAACCCGGCGACCCGAGTTGTTTTCCCGGCGATGGCGAACCTCAACTTGGGAGTGATACCTAAACCACTGCTGAGCCCTCCCTCCCCTAGGTTGGCTCAAACGAGTACTTGGTGTGGTGTGGAAACAAGAGCCCCCCCCCATGTGGCCAGGCTTAGGTGCTGGTCACTAACGGTGCTTGCCCCAACATGCTACATGTAGGCAGTGGGAGTGGATCTTTGTCGTTGTTGTTGTTGTTTTTTTCGGTGTGTACGGAACCCCACAGTCTGTACTCACACGGCATCCGAATCCAAGCGCGCCTCAAGATGCCGTTACAGAAACGGTGGGACGTTGGTTGTACGGGCGGACGCTCCTAATCCGTACGCGTGTTTTTTTATTTTTTTATAAAGAGAGAGAGAGAGACACGAGGCAGTCGTGAGATGAGAGAGGAGGTGAGGTAGGACATTCCGTTGGGGGGGGGGGGGAGGAGTGGAGTGAGATGAGAGGCTGGAGGAAGTTCGTGGAAGACTAGGGGTGAGCTTGTCGTTGATCCCACCCTGGAATTGGGTAAACTGTTTTGTGGGTGTGAGCAGTAAGGGTTCTGTGGTGCAGCTGTGCTTGTGGCTAGGTGTTCTTGTGGCTAGGTGTGCTTGTGGCTAGGTGTGCTTGTGGCTAGGTGTGCTTGTGGCTAGGTGTGCTTGTGGCTAGGTGTGGTTGTGGCTAGGTGTGGTTGTGGCTAGGTGTGCTTGTGGCTAGGTGTGCTTGTGGCTAGGTGTGCTTGTGGCTAGGTGTGGTTGTGGCTAGGTGTGGTTGTGGCTAGGTGTGCTTGTGGCTAGGTGTGCTTGTGGCTAGGTGTGCTTGTGGCTAGGTGTGCTTGTGGCTAGGTGTGCTTGTGGCTAGGTGTGGTTGTGGCTAGGTGTGGTTGCGGCTAGGTGTGGTTGTGGCTAGGTGTGGTTGTGGCTAGGTGTGGTTGTGGCTAGGTGTGGTTGTGGCTAGGTGTGGTTGTGGCTAGGTGTGCTTGTAGCTAGGTGTGCTTGTTGCAGGGTGTGTTTGTGGCAGGGTGTGTGTTAGTGCTGCGGTCAGCGCTCGCGCTCCGCTACGAACCCGGCGACCCGAGTTCGATTCCCGCCGCTCACGGCCACCAACACCCAGTGACGATTATCTGAACGGGTCCTGGGCTTCCCCTAGGTCGACTCGGCCTCAAATGAGTACCTGGCACGGTGTGTAAACATCGCCACTGGGGAGACAAAGGCGGCCGGGCGTGGTGTTTACCACCCACTCCTTCACGTGCTCTGCCGGCCCTTCGTAGGTGCTCGCTAACAGCACTTGCCCCAAAAGTCTGTTTAGGCTATACGGAGTGTCTTTGTTATTTTATTTGTAATGGCAGTACCACTCAATCATTAATTATTACGGCCTTAATTGTTGCTTAATAGTTGCTTTCAACAGCACTACTCCTTACACTTGGCAAGGCCAAATGTCGGATTTCTGTCTTTTGATCTTTGTGGACTTTCTCTCTTGCGCCTTGTCGCTCTGTATCATTAACATGGTCGTGTGATTGTCTAACATTCCGCCTTTCTGCCAGTAAAGCCTCGAGGGCCTTCCGACATTGTTATCTCTCTCTATATTTTTTTGAATGTAGAGTCCTAACATTGGCATGTTTGGCCAAGTCCGTGTCAGGAAGAAATCGGAGAACCCGCAGAAAACCCACGCATATTATGGCGGGGCAGGGGTGGGAGGGGGTGGTGGTGACACTCAAAGACTCTGGACAGATCCTATAAATAATCTCTTGCTGTATTGTTGCCATCGGCCGTCCACTTTAAGACGCAGGGGGAGGCTCTCGCGACCAATATCATCCATAATAGAGAGGGGTTTTTCCTGGGTTAGAGCGCGTGCATATATAAATGTCGTGTCGTTAAACCCGCCACCACCCGACACAGCCAATTGGTAAGGGTTTGTCTCGGAAACAAAACATGGCAATTGAGTCACGAGTACAGCGGCACCGGTGCGCTGGAGAGAAAAACCCACAACATTTACACCGGTGTGCTGTGCTAGCAACGAATCGGCACGTTTTGTTTACGTGACAAACCTTACTAATTGTCTGTCTGTGGTGGTGGCAGCTTTAACGACAGATTAATATTTACGTTGTCTAACCCAAAAAAAAACCTCCCTTATGAGCTGACCCACTTCACAGCCGGTACTTTTGGCCAATTCCCCCGTCTGATTACAGCAAGTCCTCAGTCGTTTAACGCGCGAGTGGACGCGTTCTGGAACAGTGGCGCGTGAAGCGAACGGACGCGTTGGGGCGCAAAAAACAATTTCCCCCCGTAGTATGCGTACCGATGAAGCTTTGGCGGGATACGACGTGACTACCACTGTGCACGCCGCGCAGCGAGATGGCGGAACGAACAGCTTGGCGTTTCGCCGCCACCGCGTTGCCGTATCTTAGCCGCGCACCATGTCGCTCTGCCCGGCTACGCAGCTCAAGAAACAAGTTCACCGTCGGCCGGTCAGAAACCGCGTTACAACGGGGCGCGGCGTCGCGCGAAAGATGTCCCCCGATGGAAGAACCGCGTTGCGGCGAAAAAGCGATCATGTCGTGCGAACACCGCCGCACGTTAGGCGAGGGCTTGCCGTGCCGAAGTGGCTCAATCGGCCGTGCTTGGCCTCCTGAGAGCCGACGGGGACGGGGGTGCGGTTCAGGGCGATGTTGTCACAGGCGAGCGTGCGCGAGTGCGTCCTGAGAGTTGCGCTTCGGCGCGAGTGTCCGGACGATGCTGTCCGAATATTTGTGAGCATTCAAATAGACGGTGGAGCGTTTAGAGATCTGCGTAACGCGTCTTTCCTACCCTGCTTACCCCGCAGGCTCTCTCTGCTTCATACTCTCCCATCGTCGCTTTCGCAAAGAGCTTGTAATAATGACAACAACGTTAGCCTTTGCTGTACCCAAGAAATGTAATTGACTCGTATTTTGTTACACCTTCAGTAGTTGCCGCTTTATCGCCGGTCGTGTGGCGTTTTGCCTCTGCTCGCGAAGCCTACGAGGTGAAACAATGATTTCCGATTCGGAGACGATTTTACCAACGCTCGCCGTTGTAACCCTTAAAATAAATGGTACATT